TCCCCATAGCCAGAGTGCTAAACAGTGAACCTTACTGTGGTTCTCTGTCCTATTGGCTTCCATTTTGGGTCCAGTAACTCAAATTCCTAAAGGCTTATTCCAAGTCCTTTGGGGCTGGAAGTCCTTCCTCTTTCGGAGCAGCACTCTTCTCTCTATAAAAGGGTCTCGGTTGACCTGCTCCTCATGGTCTGGCTGGGCTTTCTTAGCAACCTCTGCTTGCTTCCTCATGGTCTGGCTGGGCTTTCTTAGCAACCTCTGCTTGCTGACCTCTTGTCTAGGATTTCTCCTCCCGGGCCACATCTCCACCAGAATCCCTTTGCCCCCTTCTTCCTGGTGTCTCTTCTACTCAGGACTGGTCTCAAACACGAATTAATTCTTGGCCAGAGTTGGAAACTGAAGAGATGGAGGGAGGCCAGGGTAACAAGGTCCTCTTGCCCACAAGAGTTAAATGAGAGCTTGTGGGTGTTTTTAGGTTCACCTTTCTCCCTAAGGCAGATCTGCCCAGTGACAGTTCACATCACACCATTTGCTTTCGGCCTAGCTCCCAGTGCCAGCCTAGAACAGGGCCTGCGGAGCAGCCTGGCTCCTTTGCCCCCCACGGCTGGCTCTGCTGTGTATGGCTGTGCAAGGTCACCATGGGGGCTTCAATACATGCTGGGCTCTGCTCAACCTGTATCCCAGGCAGACCAGGGGTGTGCCCACAGGTAGGGCATGTCCCTGATTAGTGCAAAGGCAGAGTGTGTGCTTGCTTAGCCCTGTGATAAGAAAAGTGCATGCATTTTCAGAGGATGAACTAGCATTAGGGGAAAAGTTCACTTTTTCTTTAAAATCTCCTGGGTGAAATCTGTGACCAATTTTCAGAAGGCTAGGCTTTAGAGCAGCGTGTAGGAGGAACATGCACACATCTTGCTACACTGGGCGACATTCATTCATCACACCCACTCTAAACTGCCACATCTCTCCCCAGACAGCAGCAATTTCCAGACACTAGAAATACTTACATTTTATACTGTGCTTACTACAACTGACTAAAGGTCTACTCAACTGTCAGTAGAAATGCTATAGGTAGAGAAACTCAATGTTATCCCAGATTTTTACAAATCTAATGCATAATGTTCACGATAGTAAAAAACAATTAACAATTTGAAAAACTATGAATTTATCCACACTTCCATATTCCAAATTTTTTGCTTAGTGTTAATTTCAATTCCATAGTAAGAGAAAGCAGCTTTTTACATTTCCTAAGTATACTCCAATTTCACCTTTTGCCATCATCTGTGTCCATGTCTCAAAGGGAAGATAGATTTATTATATACTAGAGGCCCAGCGCACGATTAAATCATGTATGTGTAGGGTCCCCTAGGCCTAGCCTACCATCAGGGCCATGTCCGCCACCCTGTAACGCTTCGCAAGCTCCGTGGACGCTGCTGGCACCCTACCCTGCCTGCCGCGAGAGCCACTGCTCGTTTGTTTTTTTATGATATAGATAAAGTCATTTGGGTGTTTAAGAAACCAAACTGCCATAGATATTGTCCAAGGAACACTACAGTAACCTCCACTCTGCAGCAAAGAATCATCATATACAAAGTACAGAGCAGCATCTCAGAGCCCTTGTGAACTGATGTTGGAAAGGTGCCTAGGTTGAGAAAACCATCCAAAGAATTCACTCTCTTGTCTGGCCAGTGTGGCTCAGTGGTTGAGCACCGACCTATAAACCAGGATGTCAGGGTTTGATTCCCTGTCAGGGGGCATACCCAGGTTGTGGGCTCCATCCCTAGAAGGGGGCATGCAGGAGGCAGCCAAACAATGATTCTCTCTTGTTGATATTTCTCTCTCTCTCTCCCTCTCCTTTCCGAAATCACCATATATATATATATATATATATATATATATATATATATATATATTTTTTAAAAAGAGTCCACTCTCTAAAATGTCTAAACACTTCACCTCTTTCGCCAAAATATAACAAGAGTCCACTCTCTAAAATGTCTAAACACTTCACCTCTTTCGCCAAAATATAACAAGAGTCCACTCTCTAAAATGTCTAAACACTTCACCTCTTTCGCCAAAGTATAACAAGTATGACTTAACATTTTCTTAATGACATAGCACATTAAGAGAGAACAATGGCTTTGAGGTGAAGAGAACTGGGTTTGACTCATAGGTCACTATACACTGGAGAATGGTCTGAGTTATTCACCGAACTTCCTGGGCTTGTTACGATGGGGTCACTGCATTCTCAGGAGCTGTTGAGGTTGGTTAAAAGCACACATAAAGTGCTCAGGGCAGTGCCTTGGCTCTTGCAGGAGGTGCCCTATGAAATGCCAGCCCCTGCCTGTCCCCTCAGTACATGATCTGAACAGTGGAGTTATTACGTGTGCTGCAGGCTTCTCACCCTTCTGTGGGTGCGCATGTCAACAATGAGTCACTGGGCAGAATAAATGCAACTCCAGGTCTAGCCCTAGGAATTGCTTTTTGTTTTGTTTTTTAAAGCACTAATACCAAAAACCTAACTATATATTTTTCTCATTTGGCTTTCTTTCTCCTCATAAAAGTGGAATATGAGCAAATGACTTCTAAGAAATAGGATATGGCTGCCCTACTGCAAACTTCCTCCCTCTTCCCAAGCAGTGTTTTTCCTCCAGAATGTCAGTCCCTCCCCCCACCACCACCACCACCACCAACCCCATGCTATTTTCAGCTCATACTTCATAGACCTTCGTGCTGCAGGCTAAGTTTATATATGTTGTGAAAGAAACACAAGGCAATCGAGGCAGACAGTAAGGCATCCACTTATATTTGCCTGTGTATTTGACCTCCACCTTCCCAGCAATTTTTGTGCCCTTTTGTTTACTAATGATTTAAACATGCTTTGTAGCCTATAACCTCTGAACTTAAAGCACTGTCAATGAAGCTAAGTACAGAAACTATTTTCTTGAGTAGCTTTATAAAAAAACACGCACAATATTTGCTATTTCATCTCCATTACACACGAGTGAAGTCTGAGCTGTGGGTTGTCAATCGTATTGTAGAGATGGGCAACTGCAGGTGTGACTGGAATTAAGGTGTGAAGAGAGAAATATACACAACACAAGCTGGTATCTTTCTTTAATCAAAGAAACCAAAGAGCATAAAACACATTATTTACTCACTTTACTGGGAGTATTTTTTGGCAATTCTGTGGACAATAATTGTCTCCCTTATTTCCTAAGGCATGCCATCTGGCCAGGCTGACACCAAACTTGTTACCCGTCTTCTGTCTACTCCGCTTTGCACTTGCTCCTTGACGGATGATTGCACCCCCCCCCCCCCGACCTACTATTTTCATTTCAGCTGCCAAAGTTGCCTCAGTTATTCTATGAAACATTTCTCAAACTCTACTAATGCAGCAAAGAGAATGGACAATATCATACACTTTAATATGCCTCCAAAGAAGGAAATTTAATAGAAGAGTGAGCACCCATCTTTTTTTAACAACTACCACCTCTGTGAAGGTTTGCACCGATGGTCCTGGTTGTCCACACCCTCCCTTTTGTCCCCATGTGTCTTATGTTCTGTTTCTATTATACCTCCCATCACAGTAAGATATATAATTCTTTATTTTCCTCTTTCTCCCACCGGGATGTGAGTTTGTCAAGAGAAGAGGCCCTTACCAAGCTGGCACAGTGGTTAAGGGTTGACCCATGAACCAGGAGGCCAATTCCCTGTCAGGACATATGCCTGGGTTGCAAGTTCGATCCCCAGTGTGGGGCGTGCAGGAGGCAGCCAATCAATAATTCTCTCTCATCATTGATGTTTCTATCTCTCTCTCCCTCTCCTTTCCTCTCTAAAATCAATAAAAATATATTTTAAAAAGAAAGAGAGAGAAGAGGCCCTGATTTTAGCATAGAAGACACTAGACCTAAGTTGGATGACATGGAATTAAAGAACAAAACTTTTTAAAAGAGGATAAACATCCAGTCTGTGTCTACATCAATTCAGTTAAGTAATTCTGAAATAAAAATAAGGGGAAGGGAGCAAAATGGGTGAAGTGGGTCAAAGGTACAAACTTCTGATTAAGAGATAAATAAGCCCTGGGGATGTAATGTATAGTATGGAAACTAGAGTTAATAATACTGTATTGTGTATTTGAAAGATGCTAAGAGAATATAATTAAAAGCCCTCATCACAAGAGAAAAATATTGTAACTATGTGTGGTGATGGATGTTAACTAAACTTATTGTGGTAATCATTTCACAATATATACATATATCAAATCATTATGTTATACACCTAAATCTAATACGATGTTATATGTCAATCATATCTCAATTAAAGATAACTTATAAAGGAAATGTCTTGTGTGTTCTAATAATTGTTTCACTAACATAAAACTAGTTAAGAACCATGAAGCTTGAGATCTGAATTCATATTGTCTTTCTGCAGTTTTATTTTGATTTGCTGATAGCTGTACACTAACATGGCTCTTGAGAGAGAGAGAGAGAGAGAGAGGGAGAGGGAGAGAGATAACAATTTAGTAATGAACAATTTTGCCTTTTAAACCATCACATTCTAATCTTGACACCTTGACTCTGAGATATTTGAGGACAGGGTGCCAAGAAGCTAGACATAGCCTTTTGAGGCTTTACATTTTTTTTTTTTTTGGTCTTGTTTTTAAGTCAATTAAGCCAAGATTGAGTCACTGAGCTTCAGTGATAGCAATGAGAATTCAAGTTATCTTGCAAACTCTCGTATAATAGTCCTTTAGGATATTTTAAAATTATACCAACAAACCACTGAGCTAGGATGAAAATATTATGTTCCCTGGGTCCTATTTAAAATCATACTGCTTTACTTACCTTTCCATCATGTAGCTATAAAATTAAAGATGTGAAAATTTTTTAAAACTTCAAGATGCATAACAAGAAAAATAATGAAATCTCATGCCTCAAGGAGAATCTCCTCTGATTAGCTCCCGTTAACATGCTCAGCCTCTTAGATGCCATTTTGTACCATACCTGTCCTGTGTATGCGAACTCCAGAGCCTGCTTTAAGCCTAGGCTGGTCACACCATGCAAATTCACCTCGTCAGCTCCACTCTCCACCATACAAAGGCTGAACATTGCCTGAGGCGGGAAAAAGGAAGAGACAGAGTTACGGGACTTAAAAAGCAAGGGAACAAGACAAACTCCTAGAGAGACTAGGAAAGAAAAAACTTTATAGGTTAAAGACTGATATTGGCTTCTGCAATGCTTTGACAAAAGCTTCACCGACACAAGCCACTGCAAATCACTGTCTCAGCAGGTAAAGTAATACACAAAGAACACCCCACACGCAAACTCTCATTTACTCCCACAGCCCTTCCCTGGGGTGACTGTGTTTAGGCTCGTTCACTGAACTCATTCTCCGGATCCTGGGATCTCATGAAATGTGCAGCACTCCCAAACATTCTTGTCAACAGGACATGGAAAGCACACCCTTGTCTTCAACTGGTCTTCCTTTATTCCCCATCCCAATGACATAGCTCATTCCTCTCTTCTGCTACATTATCACACCCTCTATTCCAGTGGTTCTCAAAATGTGGCTCCTGGGCTGCCAACATCAGTACAGCCCAGGAAATTGTTATAGATTCTTGGGACTGGGGGGTCCCAGGACCTGCTGAATCAGAAACTCAGAGTCAGTCCAGCAATCTGTGTTGTAAGGGTCATCCAGGTGACTCTGATGCTCACTTGATTTTGAGAACCACTGTCAAAGTTATTCAGTGAAAGTCAATATGCCCCTAAACTAACTCTCCAAATGGCCAACTTACTGAAACGCCAGTTCTTCCACTGAATGACCAATATGTCAAACGGAAACTTGAAAATTAAAAAAATAAAAACTTGCCATATTAAACAAATGTATGTACTTAGCTTCTGTACTTAGTTTCTGTACTTTATTTCATTGCAATGCTTTACAATAACAAATGCTATACTTGCCCCCCACAAAAGCTTTTAACAAGTTTGACTTAACAGGAATAAAGAGAATATTCAATTTTATGCTACTGATGATGAAATACACTACTCTGTGTAGTGAAGACTTAACTTTACCCAATGAGAAGTCTGCCTTTGCCCTGGGTTTCTGGGATGTGATCTCTAAGGCCCTTGGATTATCCTGCCTGATAGGAGTGTCTTGGTTTGTCTGGGGCTTTGACCACTGAGTCTAGGGAGCATGATTTATGATGGGTTTGGGGCCACACCATATCAGTTCTGACCTCAGCGGAATTGGAGATCAAAGGCATGAACTGGAGGTCCCAGGAGAGGCTAGAGATGAAAGGCCAGACATGTAGGCAGCTTGCAGTTGAGCTCCAGTAAAAACTCAGACACCACAAGCATGGGCGAGCTTCCTGGGTTGGCAGTCCCCTGTGCACACTGTCGCACAGCATGGCCAGAGGAGGTAACACGGCCCCACAGGAGGCGGACGGCCAGAAGTGCCATATTTGGTCCCCTTCTGCACTCTGCCCTATGTGCCTCTTGCCTTGGCTGGTTCTAATTTGCATTCTTTCCCTGTAATAAGCCAAATCCACAAGTATAAAAACTTGCAGTGAGTTCTGTGACTCTGTCCAGCGAATTATTGAACATGAAAGTAGTTTTAGGAATCCCCTCAAACTTGTCATTGGTGTCTGAATGAGAGAAGTCTTGTACTGTACCTTCAGGTTTTATAATTTGGCTCATTCACAAAAGTAAAACAAAAATACAACAATGCATGGTTCTATGTATTAATAGTTCAGCTCCCCTTAAATCTTTTTAATTTTAAAAATGTCATATTTTGTTCTGTCAAAGTATCAATTTTTAATTTTGATAAATTTATTTTGATTCTCTTCATTCTATACATTTTAAATTAAGAATATTTTAACTTTCAGAAATTTACTTTATCATAAGTAAAATCTAACCTTTAAAATTTAACCTTCTAAATTGATCCTCTAAAATCTGTTAAAGGCCAATGGTCAATGTAGTAAATTTGGGAACCTGGTTAGTTAGTGACTTGATCTGGCTTCCCACTGGTGTCACCAGCAGTTAAGGCACTGTATGGCAGGTTAAGAAGACTGGATTTGAAGTCACATGATCCTTGGTTTGTGTTTAAAGCAAATTTGTAACAAAACAATTCTGGGTTTGATCACTGGTAAGTGAGAATGATAAACATGTAACCTGACTCAGTTTTCTTATCTAAAAAATGGGACTAATGAACTTGTTTGAAGATTATATGACAGTATATATGAAAAGTATTCAGTATATGATACATGTCCTGATAACAGGCACGCTCTTGGTGAAATTTATATTTTGTGATAATAAAATAGAATAAAGTTTATTTTATACATTCTCTGGTTAAAATGATTGATACATTAGAAGTACCAGTTTCTGGGGTTTCTTGGAAATCAAGTGTGGGCTATACATAAAAAATGCTAATAGGAAATTGACTTTAATGTTAAATGGATTATGCTTATGCATTTATAGAAGATCTAAAATCTTAAAATTAAAAATTACAGGTCACAATAAAAAAAACTATTTCAATTTGTGTAATTCTGAATTTTCTTCAGACTTCTTATAGCCACTTAAAACACATTTCGTACTGCTCAGGAGTTTTCTCGTGGTTCGCGCGCCATCTGTTAAGGACCGCTCACGAGTGTTCTCGTTTTTCACGCCCATGGAAAAAGGAGCAAATCTAGATACTTACGTAAATTTTGTTTGGTCCCTCTTCATAGAGGAAAATGTTTTACGCAGTACCCTACGTTAAAAAAGTACTAGGAACTTTAATTGTTTAATTGTTTATTTGTTTTTGTAAATAAAAATGTTATAATTATTGAAAAACAACACCTAAAGTGCATTATGATGATTTAAATAACGTGCAGTTTGCCCAAAAACGTGCGGTCCCTGGCGTATGTCTTAGAGATTCCTATGCGATACGCAATGTGTTAAAAAAAAATGAAAGAAATTTCAGTTGTTTTCAATGTCTTTTTTTATTATTAAATTTAGTGTTTCAGGTTTTAATATTCCCCACACGAATTTCTTTTTTCAGGCCTTCTATGTAAGTTGAAATTGCACCTGATAGGGTGACCAGCTGCTCTCCATCAACCCCATATGCAGAGCAAGACAGAAATGACTCAGGCTGCAGAACAATTATCTGGGTTAATGAAATGGAAAACAGTTCCTGAGAGCAAAAGTTAAATAACAGAACAAGCTGCCAAGGGAGTTTTTTGAATATGCTTTCGTAGGTGTCTTTCAAAAGCAACCAGTGCTATTGGCATAGAACAGAGGGTTATGAGCTACTGAACGTGAAGCCTGGCCTGGTAGAGTTGGGGCAAGTAAACAACCCCTTAAATAATGTGCATATATATTTGCATATGTTTGCATTAGCAATAAAGGAACACCAAATTGGTCACTGGGACTTTATTATAGGGTATGACTGTAGAGGAAGGAAGAGGCTATTAATTTTAGTCCATTTACGTAGTATTATTTGGACCATTACAATGGACATGTTACCCGTCTATTTCTAACAAGGGCCTTTTGAAAACTTTTTTTTAATGTTCAGGATTGTGCAGGAAGACACATCTGATTCGACTCCTAGTTCTACAACCAGGCAATTTACCTTGAACATATGACCTTGGCTAATTCGTTAACTTCTCTAAACCTCAGGTCCCTTATTTGTAAAATGAGGATAATACCAACCTCACAGGGTTGCTTTAAGGTTTAGGTACAGTCGTGCATAATAGATGCTTAATAAATAGAAACTGCTATTCTAATCCACGCTGATTGTCCTACTCTACTCTCCCATGCATCCTTTTGATCCCCATTGGACTAAGAGTTAAGAAACAGCCCTCTCCTCTCCCCTCTGCCCAAACCCATTCCTTTCAAATACTTTCCTAATGACAATCCTACTCAAAATGCCTATGATTGGCTGCGGCACTTCACTTTCACCCCATATTCCTTACCCTGCTTTAAGGACAGACCCCATCATAAAAACCATCACCATACTTCTATAACCACGTAATTTCCATTCTGGTATCATATCACAGAGTTTTAGAAATTTAATGTTACAAACTTAATGCACCATAATTTTTAAAAATTAGAAAATTAATTTAAGAAAAGGTAACTATTAAATCAAGATCGCCGAAACCGGTTTGGCTCAGTGGATAGAGCGTCGGCCTGCGGACTGAAAGGTCCCAGGTTCGGTTCCGGTCAAGGGCATGTAGCTTGGTTGCGGGCATATCCCCAGTAGGAGATGTGCAGGAGGCAGCTGATTGATGTTTCTCTCTCATCGATGTTTCTAACTCTCTGTCTCTCTCCCTTCCTCTCTGTAAAAAATCAATAAAATATATTAAAAAAAAAATAAATCAAGATCAATGTCATGAGTTTAACAAACTTACAAGGAACCTGTTAGGAAAAAGCTCACAGGATACCATCAAAGTAAGAAAGAACCTGGCCATTTGACAGAGTGAAACACCAGCTGACTAGGCTGCCCGAGCTTGTGAAACAATGTCTGGAGACCTGCCTGAGCCCATGGGGAAGGACAAAACCTCTTTGGTAGCAAAAGAGGTGAGGAGACCAAGGGTGCTATCTTATAGTTTTAGCATTGATCTCCTTGAAAAGGTAAACTTAGCTTCATGAAAGTGAGTTCCACATCTTCCTTATTCACTATGGAGATCCTAGATCCTAGCAAATACAGGTGAATGAATTGATGAACAAATGAACAAGTTCTTCAAAAATTCATCTTTGCATGATGCCCAGCTGCTCTACACTGCTATAAACAAAAATAATTTGACATAAGAAAGAATTTTCATGATGTAAGATGTTTTACAACATGGAATATAAAACATAGCTAAAGTTAAAGAGTGTCTACCATAAGCCAAATACAAATTATGTTCAAAGATAGACATTTGGGAAAAATTAAGAACATAAGGTAATGTCCTCTATTAAGCCACATTCTTGCAAAGCATGGGATAAGGTTCTGCCTACAAATATGAAAGCATTGCACAGGTTCTTCCTTGGTTCACACTGTATTGTCTTTGGGAAAGTCTTGGCCGGGTTGAGATTTACAATTTTGTCACAGCTCACTCCTGGCTGATAATGTGCTGCCACCTCCACAAATCTTT